AGGATAAGGACACCCTAGAAGTATCCACGTAGTCAATGGTTTGTTTTGTCCTTGTTTTCTGTGAACACTAACTCAACTAGGTGCAAAGAGGCGATGTTTAGCAGGCTCAGGCCCCTCATCTGGTTTGCAGTGTGACCATGCTCAGTTGCCCCTAGTGTAGAAGGGGTAGGGTGGGAGCCAGTGCCCTCAGTTAAGTCTCCGGGTTTAGACTTCTGAACTGTTTTCCTGTGGGAGCAGCTGATGACTGCTGCCAGCATGATGAAGTCAGTAAGGGCACGTGGCTAGGATGGATGCCTTCCCATTTTGGCAGCAGCTATCACGCAGATTCACAATGTGGCTTAGCGAAGCAGTGGGAGCTGGAGCCATTTGTGTAGGGTAGCCAGTATGTGTCAGGAGGCTGAGTCTGGAGCCGTGATTGTGCTGGGAGAGGCTGTATTTCTTGATTCAGTGCTCTTTGAACTGAAGAGGTTACTGAGCTGGTTCCATGAATAGGCAGGTGGCTGAAAAACTGCACAGATGCTTGGACGGGTACTGCTGAACAGAGACAAGAGCGGAGAACCAATGATCAGTTTTGCAGACTGAACAGCATGCTGAATGCTCTCCTAACATGCAGGTGGCATGTAGCTAAAACCAGTTTGTCTGTAAGAATGCAGTGAATTCACTCCTCTAAATCTGACTGTGAAGAAGACTGACTTGTGCAGTAGTGGATACAGACATTGGTTACACAGGGCTGCCAAGGTGACCTGCTCACAGTGCAGAGGGGAGCATAGCTCAGAATCTTGTGAACAAAGGCATTCATCTCTATCCAGAGAGACTGGGCTGTCACACTCAAGACAGTTGAACGTTGTAGCTTGTAAAACGTGCCAGTAGAGCACTGCTTTTATGGTGGAAGCATAATTACTGTACCCAAAGGAATGCTCTCACATTGTCTTCTCTTCTTACCACTCCCAAATATTAAAGGATCATGATGCTGCAGTCACCATATGGGAGGTGACACTGGCTTCCCAAGCTCTTGCTCAGTTAGTGTTGCCAGATTCTGGTGCTAAAGCCAAGATACTAGATTTTGAATGGTTTCTTTCAATCTTCCAAAGAGGAAGACTGTGGTTTAGGTAGGGAACATCCCTTCTAGCTTTATTTTAGCCTTGGTTGTGTTTTCTCAGTGCCCTGTCTGCCTCTGGGGTAGATGCTTACCTTTTAAGATGCTGGACCTTTTCCCTTTGTTAGTATTTCAGGGGAACTGCAGGCTGTTTTCTGGTATATTTCATGTTATTTCCATGTTGAAAACAAAACCAGAGGCTGTATGTGTAGTAGAGGGAGGGTGTCTGGGTGCTCTTATGTAATGGCCATGTAACACTCTCTGTGACTCTTGCACTGTCATTAAACCCTGTAATACCTGTTGACTGTTTTGGCTACTGCGGAACATGACATACGGGCTGCCAGGAAGGAGAACCTGTAATCACAAGGAATTCCTATTAGTAACACAAGGTTAGCAGGGAGAACTCAAGTGTGGATTGGGGGTAAAGGAGAGAGGCAGCTGTCTCATCTAAAGCTTAAAAAACAAAATAAAAGCAAACAAACCCTGTTGCTACAAAGCTGCTGTGCTGCTTTACTTAAACTGTACTACTGCAAGTCCAAATGATGCCTTCAGGTGTGTTACCTTGCATGTTGCTGCAGTGAACTATTCTTGTGTTGCACAGTCTTCCAGATTTGAGTCTCTTCAAAAATGTCACTAGCCTGAAGTGGTGTCTTCATTCATTATCACCTCCGCGGTTTTTCTTTTTCCTTTCTCTGTTTCTTGGTTGGTGTGTTGGGGTTTTTTTGTGTGTGTGTGCGCGCACTGTACCTTCACTCACAGTCTAGGATGAGCCAGAGTGGAAACCTCTTCAGCAATGTGGGATGGAGCCTGTTTCTGTCTAGAGTCCTCTGATCCTCCAGTGCTTTTTCTAGTCTCTCCTGTGACAGGGGCCTCTGGAAAACTGTGTTTCTGTATTCCTTAACTAGCTACTACTCAGGGTCAGACTCAGCTTTGTCTTCCTTACTAGACTGCTTCTGCACCTTGTTATAGGGGAAAAAAGAGCCGTGCAAAATGGGTTGTGACCTGTGAGCATGTGTAGCAGGCTTAGCATTTGACATGGCCTCAAACTTGTGCTTTCAGTGTCTCTGCGCTGGATCAAGCTGCCTCCAGTGTGGACAAACAGCCGAGACCACGTGAGAGAGGTGCCCTACATGAGGTATGGGCACTCAGCAGTGCTCATAGACGACACCGTCTACATATGGGGTGGACGCAACGACACTGAGGGAGCCTGCAACGTGCTCTATGCCTTTGACGTCAGTAAGTTCCAGCTTCTCAATCTTCCTTGTCACAACTGCTCTTGATGAGACCTTCTCTCTGCCCCACCACACTGCTCCCCAACTTGTTTTCGTGTTCCTCAGTCTCTCTACAAGGCAACAGTCTGGAGAAAATGATGCAAATGGGGAACTGGTGTTGCTGGCTGTTTCAGCAGGGTTAGAAAGGGAGCAGGGTGGCTAGTGTCTGCACACTTGACTCTCTGTAAAAGCCTTTGAACAGAGATTACTGAGCTTGTCTAATTGTGAAACTGGGTTTAATTTTTCTATCAATCAGCTTTGTTTGCTCTCTCAGATAGTAAGTACAACTGAAGTGCTCTTTTGGTGTGATGTATTGTTCCTTAACTGTGGCTGAAGGTCGCAGCAAGAAGTGGCTAGAGCTCTTGAGGATTGTTCCTCTCCAGGGTGGTCCTTCTTCCTGAAAGCATGAAGGAGAGTGAGGAATAAAACACAGAAATAGCCAGGGACAGGATGGCAAGATAATGGAAGACGTGAGTCAAGTTAGATAAACCTGAAAGAAACTCCTTGAGCTTTTCAATTGGCTTCTCCATAATGCTGCTGGAGCACCTGGGGAGAACAGGCACCATCAGGAGCTGGGTGGACAGGAGTGTCAGGAAAGCAAGGGATTACATCTGGATTCTGGAGGGGAGTACATCTAAATACTGACCAGTAACTGGCTTGCTAGACTTGCAGGGAAACTGCTTGCTCTGGTGCTTGGTCGTGGGTTCCCTTCTTCGCCAGAAACGTCCCGCATCTTGGAGCTGCTCTCTGGGCACAGGGTTTCCCCCTTCCCTTGACACATGAAGCTAGGAAGTCACCAGTAAACCTCTGCCTACTTACTCAGAGGCCTTGTAGTGGGAGTTGCCTGGTCTCCATGCCAACTCCAGCGCTTTAGCATTAAGTGAAAATTAAGGGAAAGACCAGACTTCAGTTCTGGTCCAAACCCTCTGCAGCTGTCTGTACATGCTGTGCCTGTCCCCTGCCAATCCTGGAAAGTGAGGCTGGCAGTTGCAGTCTTGCATCTGTGGTGTAAATTCCACTGTAGGAGTCGCATCAGGCTGGATGAAGTCCTGACTGAGTGCAATTTTGCCCCCTGGGGCACCAAGCAGGTCACAAGCTGAGGTCTTTTCCATCTCTAGTGTGATGTGTTGCACTTGGGTGAGCTCTTGCTGCTACCGTGTGACTGGGCTTGGAAGCAGCTCCATGAAGGAAAGGAACTTGATAGCCACTGCAGCTTTCTCGCTAGAGGCTGCCCAGGGATTCTGTTGACCTTGCAAGCCCCTTTGTCTGGTTCCAGCTGGAGCTGAGGTGGATAGCTGTGGCTGCAGGCCAAGTTCAGAGAAGTTATCCTCATGAAGAATGTTGCTTTGGCTCCAATATTACCGCTTCCTGAAATAAGCAGTGCTCTTGGCAGCTTGCAGCAGTTAGGGAGGGTGGTGGGAATGTCTCTTGCTGCCTTGGGGCTTATCTGTGCCTCTCGGGGCTCTTGGGACAGGTGCTTGTTTGTACTTGGCAGTGAGTTGCTGGCTCGGCTCCATGTTGCCCTGGCATGGAGAACAACTCTGGCTGGATTTAAAGTCCTCCCCTAAATCAAGCCAACCCCTGGAGTGTGCAGGCTAAGGGGCTGAATCTGGCTGGTGCAGGTTCACGGGGAGGAGTGCGAAGGGAACCATGAAGGGTGGAGAGTGAAGAAGGTTCCCCTCGAAGAGCAGATAAGAATGTAACAAGAGGAACAGATAAGATAAGGAGAGCTGCGCTGCAGAGGTGGGGATGTGCACATAGCTCTGTTGACATGGTGAGGTTGTGGTTAAGTGACTTCTGCCTGGATTTTGAGCGTGCTGTTTTTCCTCAGTCGGTTAGTCACCATCTCCACACCGTGAGGTCAGTTGAGCCACTTAGCATTGTTGCTTCGTTGTAATTGAAACTGTAAATGCAGAGTTGATAAGTGACTCGCAAGTAGGCTTTGCAAGAGATTCAATAAAAATAACATTGCTCAAGTAGTGCTGTACTACTCACACTTAAAACGTGAGATGTTTGTCAGGTCATGTAGAGTCAGTGGCCGTGCCCAGGAGCTGAGAGCTCTATCACCATGTCCCTCTGTGGAGCCTGAGGCAGGTAGCCTTGCCTGAAGAAGCTTGCAGCCTCTCTGGAGGAGCAGGTGCTTTGTGTGGAAAAAGTGAAGGATTTCTGTCTTAGAAATGAAAAACAGTAGCAAAGAGCTATCCCGTCCCAGCATCTACTGTATTTTCTTAGCGTTGCCTCCTGTTTTGTTTCAGACACGCACAAGTGGTTCACGCCAAAGGTTTCTGGAATGGTCCCAGGAGCGAGAGATGGGCACTCGGCTTGTGTCCTGGCAAAGAGCATGTTTATCTTTGGAGGCTATGAACAGCTGGTGAGTAGTCTCTGTAACTCTTATTTGGCAATCCCTTGGGAAAGAGGGTGTTCCTACCCAGGACATTGGTAGAGATGGGATACAGGTGCATATTTGTATCCATAGTTGCTTTCATTTCATGACTGGGCAAAGTTATGGCATTAATTACCCGGGTTATGCTCATTCTTTTGCAGAGAAGATGGTTGGGAAAGTAGGCCTAAAAAAAGGTAGACTTTTTTTTTCTTCCTACAAACATATAGATACACAGAGGTAAAAATATATATTTTTACATATAATTTTTTTCTGGCTCATTTCTCAGCCAATTTCAAATAGAAAAATACATAACATTTTTAATAAATATGTATTGAACTACATTTATTTTAATTTGGCTGAGAAATGAGCCAGAAAAATCACTTTCCAATGTCTGCCGTGTTGCTGCGAGGTTTTGTCCTAATCTGGTGCATGTTCCCTGTATTCTGTACCTGCTCTCACATCTTGCTGATCCCCTCCAGCAAACGCTTGCTTGCCCTTCCATTAAGAATACCTTGAGCCAAAGGTCATCCTGCACTAGCAGTCAGTGTGTCTAATACTCCTTTGAGCAAATCCTTATGCTCTAATCTTAAGTGGGTAAATATCACTTCAGCCTATCACCAGGCTCCAGAAAACTTGTGCAAAGTCACATCTTTTTATTTGGAAGAAAGCTGGGGCTCTGTTACGGCAGTCCCTGGGTTATTCCCCCTCTTCTGAAGACAATGGCGTGCCAAATCCATGATCTTGATTACAGCGGCAGGAGCAGTTCAAACGTGACTTATTTTTACCCAAGACCAAACAAATCTGTAGCTGTCGCGCTGCTGTCTCCCCTGCCTGGTGGAGCAGGAGTCTGTGCTGTTTGCGTGAATGCAGGCTCTTCCAGGCAGCTAGCTGCAGATGAGTTTTGTGGGATCCTCAGAACCCCAAGTGTATTTGCTCCTGCATGTTTAGCTTCCAAAGTACTCTTAGCTTCTACCTGTCATCAGGTGGCCTTAGCAAAACCAATTTGACTGTCCTGTTAGTGCCTCTTTCTTCTGTCACTGCATGGAGTGGAGGCAGGGTTCTGCTGTGAATGTCAGCAGGACAGCCACAGGGAGAGGAACTGAGCACCAAATAAATAGGAAAGCTGCAGGGAGAGACAGAACACCTATGAGAAGAGATGGGCTTTGCCTCCCTCTTGTTAAGTGGTAAGCATGCTGCCTACCATGACCTTCCGGAGCAAGCACCATGTCTCTTAGGAAGTACTGACCCCAAAGGGATGCTCCAGGTCTGTAGGATGCTGTCCTGGGACCAGATGTGACCAGACTTCTCAGTCCCTTTGTGACCAGGCTGCTTTCTTCTGTCTTCCAGGCTGACTGCTTTTCAAATGATATCCATAAATTGGACACCACAAACATGATGTGGACTTTAATCTCTGCCAAGGTCAGTGTCTGCTTTTCACTCTGGTTTGTGGAGGAAGTCTCATATCTGCTGTTCTCTGGGGTAGCTGCCCATACTTGTCTCGCAGCTTCTGTCTGCTGTGGCTGGGATCTGCAGGAGAAGTTCTCCAGGAGAAGGCAGCCACCCCAATTTCCCTATCAAGATGCGTCATTTCCCTGGGTAATCTGCATTCTTTCTCTTGTTCTGTTTTACTCTGTCCTTGCAGGGTACGCCAGCTCGCTGGAGAGACTTCCATTCAGCTACCATCATTGGAACAAAGATGTATGTATTTGGTGGCAGAGCTGATCGTTTTGGGCCATTTCACTCCAACAATGAGATCTACTGCAACCGCATTAAAGTATTTGATACAGAAACAAACTCCTGGCTGGACTCCCCTCCAACTCCAGTGCTCCCAGAAGGCCGGCGGAGCCATTCAGCATGTGAGTGTGGGGTCTGCTGAGAGAAGACAGTGGGAGGAAATTCCTGTCCGCCTCAGAAGGGGTGTCTGGTCTGCTGGGTGGAGATGTGGGTTAGCAGGGGGATCACAGAGCTTGGCTTCCGTGGAAAGCTGCTGCCCACCGAAAAGCCTTCCGTGTAGCCCTGCACATGAAGGTGATGTAAGTGAAGGTGGATGACCAGCGCCACTTTGCTTTGCGTTTGATGGGACAGGGACCTCCTGGGCTCTGCCTTGGGTGGCACCCTGATGTCTATGCTTACTCCCCGCAGTCAGCTACAATGGAGAGCTATACGTATTTGGTGGCTACAATGCACGCCTGAACAGACACTTCCACGACCTCTGGAAATTCAATCCAGGTATTTATGCTTTTAACTTCTTGCAGTGATGGTGCTCAAGGCCCTCAGGTGTGTGAGCGCTCAGATGAGTGTACTCTCCAAGGGCTAGAAGCTGGCTTGGGGGGAAACAGCTCTTCTGACAGCATTCACAGGAACTTGCCACTGTGCTTGGGACCCCTGTTCCTCCTCAGATTGTCTCCAAATTTCAGTTAGAAAGTGGAAAAGGAAGTATTGCTGAAAGACACAGCTAATCAAAGGATGGTTGGCAAAACTTTGTCTTGCTCTTAAATATGCAGAAGTGCTGGCAGAAAAAAAGCAATGGGGAAGCAATGGGGTTAGGGGAGTGAGAGACTGTAGCTGGGGAAGCAGCTCAACTTGAGCTGCAGGATTACCATACCACACTCTCTTGGTACCAAATCAAACTGTGCAGCAGAAGGGGTAGTTCTTCAGCTGGTACCCTGAATATCAGTCAACTGTGAGCTCTTTGGGGTCCTCAGGCACTTTTTTCAGTCCATTAGACTGATTTTGTTTGCTAATTGCTTTGTGTAGTAAAGTTACCTAAAGAGCAGCCAACTTGCTGCTACCCAAGCTGATCTACGAGCCAGTGTGAGAGCTCCTGAAGGTTTCCGTGCTGTGCATTAGTGACTAATCGGCCCTCAGCATCCTTGCCCTAGAGAGCAGCAAGGACAAAGGCGGCTGTCTTCTCCACCTGGTTCAGTTCCCCATGCTCCCCTCCCGCAACCAAGCTGTCCCGGCAGTCTCCGCTCTGCGAGGATGCTCTGCATTCGCGGTGGCTGCCAGCAGATGGAGCTGGTTCCTGGGTCTCTCTCCAGATCTGGACCGCAGCAGGGTGCTGGAGAAGGGGGGCTCCCTGCTCCCGGAGCTCTGCCCTGCACGGCTCCCTGAAGTGTCTGACCTGATGCCGTGGCAGCCCGCGGGTCCTGGCGCTCAGCCTGTGCAAGCGAAAGGCCTCCAACCTGCAGCTCCTGTCTCGGCAGGCAGAGCTCCAGGGCTGTGCCTGGCATCTAAGCGATGCTTCAGTTACAACTTCACAGAAGTGCATGGTTTTCCTGCTAGCGAGAAGTCGACAGGGAGGGCGGATGTTGGCTAGTTGGTGTCTGTGGGGCAGTGGACCTTTGTTTTTGCTGTGATTTGTTTAAATCCATGACCTGCCTATACCTGGATCTTGGCCAGGCTCTTGTGACAAGCTGGTGCACTCTTTTCTGCCCCTTAGTTTCTCTTTCTTGGAGGAAGATTGAGCCCAAGGGAAAAGGCCCATGTCCTCGACGCCGGCAGTGCTGCTGCAGAGTTGGGGACAAAATCATTCTCTTTGGAGGTACCAGGTGAGTTGTGTGGGGTGGCTCTGTGAGAGGGTTTGCCATTCCCTGCAGCAGTGTCCCTCCACACTCTGCCCGGTGCTGTAGACAGATGCACTTTAGAGGTACATGGCAACTGTCCATCTACCTGGCAAGTGTAAGAAATCATGTAGATCAGGGCTCCTCTGGAAAAAGGCCAAGGGGGAGATTAAAGATGTCATGTGAGCTTGTAAAGCACCTGGTGACAAGCCGCCTTGTACAAGCAGAGGCAGCAGTATGTAACATGCTGTTCTGAAGGGGTTGTGCAGTGATCAAGCTTTCCGTGAAAGAGGTGGTGGGGAGGAAGGGAGGAGATCCTGCGATCAGAAGGACAAGTATCCTAGTCTGCTGTGTTGTAGCAGACCTCAGACTGACTCATTCTCCCCTACGTGCTGCCCTACTTCTCCCACCAGAGTTTGTTTCTTTCATTGGCAAGTGTGCTGTCTGCCAAGGTACAGTGGGATGTCATCTCAGCTGGGACCTGTTTGAGGAGCCCGTACACACAACAAGGCAACATTCCCTTCTGTGCCAGTGTTCCTTAGCAAAGTTTCCATTCACAAAAGGGACCTGGTGTTAAGGATTTATCTGTCAAACACTGGAAGTGATACTGTCAGGGTGCAGGGCAGCTGGCTGTGGCCAAGAACCATAACAGCTGCTAAAAGAGAGGAAGTGGCCCATCACCAGGACACACTCTATGCTGTCTAGAATGACAAATTGCAGCTCTGAAGCACAGGCCTGTTTGCCAGCATCTACCTTGCAGAGACATCTGAAATGCTTTCAGCCCTCCACATGGTTTGGAAAGCTTTGGGGCTTTCTCTGGGATCCCGGCAGTGGTTCTTTTGGGCATATCTCTGAAGACAGGTTGGGGTGGAGGACAAGGCAGGGCAGGTTCTGCTGATGGGCTGACCATACCATTGTGTGATAGACTGAAGCGCCTTTGGGCCCCAGGAGTGCTGGGGGTGTGTGGTTAGTTGTAGAATGTCCATGTGGGTGTGAGGGACTGCTTAGTGTGGGTGAAGTATGGAGAGTCGCTGAGTTTATCCAGTCTCCTCAACAGATACTGGGTGCTGCTCTGTATGGTAGAAGGCTTGGTAGGGCTTGATGGCAGTTTTGGATGCTCTGGGATGCTGCGGTGTGGATTAGTGTTTCTTGCAGCAGCTGAACTCTGATGTTAAACCTAAGCACTTCTAGGAAAAGATAGCAAATCACAACAAATTTGGCACCAGCCTTTCGGAGTTTGGTTCACCTCTGCCAGGCAACGCAACAGCACCTTGTGTTCTCCAGTGAAACTTCAGTATTCAACTTGTTCCTTAATCCAGGCTCGGTCCCAATGCCGGCCAGTTCATCAGCACTAGTTTGGGATAGGAAGAGCTGCTGGCAGCCAGGAATGCATCCTGCTTGGACTGGAGGGAGGGTCTTGCAGGCTGGGGAAGGGGGAGACAGGGAGGGGGGGGTCGGGACTGTGCTAGTTTCCTGTAACAGCTATCAGGTGTATTCTGGAGCTGCCTGGCGAGATAAGAAGTTTTCCAGGAAGTCATTGTAATGGAGAACTCCCTGTGGTCTGCCTCCTGACCTGCGCTCTGCTTGCGGGCAAGGGGGAGGGGGAGCGCACGGGGGAGGGGGAGCGCACAGCGCAGGGGATCTGGCAGGGCTCCTTGGAGGATGAGCCGGCAGGCTCAGCTTGATAGGCAGCAGTGCTGGGGGATGGGCAGGCAAAACCCCCTACTGTCCTGCCTTCCCTTACGGGATTCACGTACACTGTAGTCTGTTCGAGGGGTACTTCTGCAGGGACCCCGCTCCTGTGGCATCCAAATGCTTAGTTTCTTTTGTAGTCCTGCCCCCCAGAGCCTGGTCTTTTTGCCCCAGCTGTGGTCTCTCACTGTGGCCAGCAGCAGTCCTGTCACTTGTGTCCCGTTTAAGTGACCAGAAAGTCATGTAGTGCTAAGCTTGGTGTTCCTCTTAGCTGTGTCACAGTTGTGGCCTTGGCCTGGTTTCTTCCCAAACCCACAAGCACTTAAGCATGCAGAGACCATCCACAAGGGAGAACAACGGGGAGAGGTAATGCTATAAAACAGAGTTTAGCTGAACAGGTGCCGATCCAGGTTTGGCTTGAGGTGGTGTTTTCCCTGACAAGTCTTAGAAATGCCTGACTCCGGTGAGGGAGCTCTCCCTGGCTCTCAGTGGGTGCTTGGTACAAGACCCAAGAGCATTTGCCAACCTGCCGAGTTGCTGTGCAGCTGGAAAGAGCAGTTTTGAGGGGCTCTGGCTGGCAAAGGGGTGCCCTGCACCTCCTGCTGTCTGGGAGTCGTGGCTCTCCTGGTCTTGAACTCCAGGCTTTCCCTAGCTGCTTGCAGTTTGGTGATTAAAACCACAGCCGTTGTGCCTGCTGGCTTTCCTTTGAAAGATAAGGGATGGTCTAGGGTTTCCTGTGACGTGGATGTGAGATTAGATTGTGGTGTGGTGAGCACACAGGGGTGGAATTAAAGGGGCTCTTGCCTGTATCCGGGCAGATGGGACCCATCAGCAACAGGTCTTCTCTGCCAGCAATGAGCTGTGCCCTGCAGTTTGTGCTGGGGTTATAGGAGCCTGGCGGGGGGTGCAGGTACTGTCTCACGTCCTGTGAGCTGTGAAGCTTAGTGGATCATAGGTGGGGAAGCAAGAGACACTGGAGTGAGAAGTCACTTTATGAGGTCCCAGCTAAGCAGTGAGGACAGGATACATTGCCTTGTCATAAACCAATGCAGGACTCAAAACACCTTTCCTTTCTTTCAAATTCTCCAAACAACCATCAGCCATGGGAATGCTTTCCCCTGGTGCAAGCACTACTGTTCCAGCACAGGCTGGTCTCTCTGTGATAGGGGATGCAATAACCAGTCTCTCGGGAGCTTTGGCTGTTCTATCAAGACCGCAGAGGCAGGAAACCATAGGTGAAGCTGTCTGTTCCCAAGAAATGCCTGAAGTCATAGCTCCTCACTAGCATTCCAGGACTAGCATCTGATGGGAGTATCCGCAAACTGGAATTGGTTTAAAATGACTGCTGCACTGATCAGTGCCTGACACATTCTCAGTTACGGTCTTCTGAAATGCCGTCCCCATTTTGGGATGACCAGGGAGCTGTGGCTGGAGCCCACAGTGATTCCTGAGTCAGACTGAGAAACGTCTGTGCTTGCCCTCCCACGCAGATGTTTCGTGGATGCTATCTCTACAAGTCTCTTACATCATCTCAATGGCCGTGCTGAAAAATTACAGTAGATCTTAACCATGTGAGAACTGGAATGATGAACAGCGTATGGCTGGGGGCACAATCTGTTTCAAACCTTGTGCTGTTGTGCTTGGCACACAACTTCAGCTCATGCAGCAGAACCCAAAAGTAGTGCAGCTGCTGGCCTAGTCAGAGGAACACAAGCTAATAAAGTAGGATGTTTTCCTGACTGCAGGTTGCTAACCTGTGGGCTTTTGCTGGAGAGTTTTTGCTAATGCATCAGCTACATATGGCTATTGCAGACAGTG